TATGGATTGGAACTGCTTAAACAATTTTTAGATACGTATCTAAATTGTTTTAATTTTTAACACTAATACTAATACCGAAAAAAAAAAAAAAAAAAACTATTTATAGCTTTTTTAAAAATATTCAAATTTGAAACATTAATTTTAATCTTAACTATTTATATAAAATATTTTTATAAAAAATATATAATTATATAGTCTATCTAATGCTCTATAACTTTACTTAAAAGATTAAAGTAAAATTTTAAGTAAATTAAATTTTTTTTGTTTAAATATCCAAAAATATCTAATTTATATCACTGCTTTTTGGTATATTATATCTTTTAATTTATCAACAACAACCTATTTTTGATAAAACCAAGAATAATATTTATTTAGTTATTTTCTTATAATATTTTTTGTAATTTGATTTTATTGTTGTTGACTAAAGGATTATTATTTATAAAAAAAAAATAAATCTAACCTTAATATTGATAACAAAATTATTTTAATAATATAAACCAAATTATAAGGTTTTATCTAATACAAATACTATATAAATTTTCAATCAAATTATAAAATTTAAAGCATCTTTGCAAGAGAAATAGTTAAAAAAAAATAATTTGAATAAATAATTTAATTTTTATTAGAGGTAAAATTTACCATAATATGTTTAATCAAATTTTAATTAAACTTTAGGGTTAAAATTTAAATTAAAAGTTTTTTAGAACGCTAAACATTTTTACTTAGCAAACCAAATATCGATTACTGAATCCGTTTTTGAGAAACAGCATATCTGATGAATGTCACCTCCGGTGAGCGTTAAAATCGTTCTATATAATTTGAAATATTTTTATAGGTTAAAAATTAAAACAATTTAGATACGTATCTAAAAATTGTTTAAGCAGTTCCAATCCATAGCATAAATATGCATAAATACGTATTAAAAGCTTTTGCTATATTAATAAAAGTAAACTTCAATTAAAAATTTTTGCAGCATATACCTTATATACCTTATATAAAGCCATATAAAGTTAAAATTTTTTTTTTAAATAACCCGCGGATCAAATTTTGAAAATCTTTTAATAACTGGGTGGATATTTTAGATTTAAGATTTAGAAAAAAAAGATCGATGATCAAAAATTTAATGTTACGTACGAAAAACGAATTAACTTTGTATGGTCTAAATAATATAAAAAATCATGAAATTTGATTTCGCAATAATTATACAAAATACCAATTAAGTACATGCGACATTTTCAATCTAATGACATCACTACAAGTCACTTGCATCAATTCACTAAAGTACTTGAGAAACCAATTCTTAATAACGGCTTATATCCAAGATATTGAAGCCGGAACTTTATTGAGACAGAAAAAGATATTGCTTTTATACATTTTCACAATTAGAATTAAAAATAAATAAATAATGCATCATAGAATTAAAAGAAATAAATAATATAAATATTCGTGATATGTCATCCAAGCTTCCCAGTCTCAGCCATGGTTTATCGCAAACCATGATACGTGGTGAACCGAGGTAGATAAACCACCTTAGCTACGTAATTGAGAACACCAAAAAAATGAAATAACTTAGGCTCTATTCCGAGATAATCGGACATTATTTCGCGACAACACAGTAAATCAATATGAATAAAATGATTGATAATTTGATCAATATTGGCTGTCGAAAAGAAAAGAAAAAAAAAGAAATATGTACTTCGTAACAGCATGAGATTATTATTTTTTGCTGAAGAAGTTCTTAGCCTTCGCAAGAAAGCTCTTTCTTTTTGACGGAAGTTTTGGAGGATTTGGAGTTTCTGAAGGTTCTGGGGTTTCTGGAGTTTCTGGAAGAGGTTTGTTTATATCTGCTTGAGTTGTATCTGTTGAAGTTTCTGTTGGTTGATCTTTTACATCAATCACCTCTCTAGTAATTTCGGTCTTAGTTTCAGTCTCTTTAATTTCTGTTTTAGTTTGATTCTCAGCATCTTCTGTAGTCTTTGTTACTTCGGTAGTAGTTTCAACTGTAGTTTGAACTTCTGTCTTAGGTTCCTCAGTTGATACGTCAGCTACAGTTGCTTCCGATTTGTTTGTAGTCTCTCCAGTATTCGTTGTAACTTCATCGGCCTTAGGTACAACTTCCTCGGGCTTGACTACTTCCTCGGGTTTTTCATTCTTATCTTCGACTGCGTTTTCTTCCTGTGTTATAGGTTTAACTTCCGTCTCGTCAATTTTCTCCTGGGCTTTAGTTTCGCTAACTTCTTCCGATGCAGGCACTG